TATAAATTAATCTCGCAGGTGATGATGCTACTTTTACCATCGTGATTTAGAGGAGAAACATTATCATCAGAGTGTATACGATCCGAACCTAACGAGCTCCTATCACGAAGAGCCTCAATCTCTTGTATAAGGTTACAATTCTCAGATAGGAGGGCCGTTATCTCAGCCGTCATAGCCATCAGTACTTTCTTAATTGGGTCGGCAACACGTCTAGATTTAGATATATCTTCTATTTTTGACTGAAGATCTACCCCTTGAAGTTTCAAATCCATCTGGCATCGAATTATTGACATCCCTAGCGATATCTCAGAGTAGAAGGTAGTAGAGAGATACCAGTCAAAATTTATGTGCAACAAAAGTATAAGAAAACGTGTACCTGGACAGGGGGTAAAAGAGTAATGTACCAATGATTCAGCTCATGCCACCCTAAGCTAGGCGTTGATAAGCAAAAAAACGAGAATAGATATGTCCGTGCTACAGTGACTCGCAATTGACCAATGCGATGAAACAATTAATAGACCACGACCTCACAGTGGCACAACTGCGTAAACGAAAGAGTGGAACAAGACGGAATACCTGGTTAAGTGGCAATTTTCTTCTAACAGTTGCTTAATTGCCGCCCCAAGCGACACCGTGCAATTAGTAGAATAAATATAATCTGAGAACTCAACCTTCAGGGAAATAATAAAGTAGACCGGAGCGATAACACAGCGCCGCAGCACACGCCAGAGCACAGAACTGACCTCGAGTCTTGTTTTAGGGTCTCGTGTTTTTTTTTACCACTAGAGAGTCAGTCAGTGACCACATGTTCGTGAGTGACACCACTATTCACAGTATGCAATCGCGAAATTTGTCTTCAATGTGTGTAGCCAAGGAAATCACTTATTGAAATCAAGAGAAAAACAAACGTACCCTCTAATCGTCCTTGCATCTGGATCGAGTAAAACTTGCGCCAGTGATGTCGCTAATAGTGTCGTATCCGTTCCCTCGCCACCGTGAACGATCACAGGTACGTCTAAATGGGATGTTTAGAAAGCCAACATTATTAAAGTTAGTTGCTATTGACATTAACTTTTCACTGGTTTTTGTATAGTCCTCATCATTGCGGACCGGTGGGGCGTAGCAGTGCGGCTGCTTTGGTGCGGTTTGGCAAAATCGTTCTGCACCAGTTTTTGAAGCGGGCAAGTGCATTACTGTATAATATCCTTCGCATTACTCGTTTTCTACCACTTTTTGTCGCATACGCGTTGCAACAAAAAAGGCTGAGAACGGCTTCAACAGTGTGCGCACTCAATCCGGCTGGCACGCCCCACCGGTCCGTAATGATGAGGACTGTATATTCGCAAGAGTTGAGCTGTGGGCAGAAGTCAGACCACTGGTGGGCTTCGAACACCGCATGTTCCGCTTTCCGTGTGTTCCCTATCACGCTACCGGGGCCGCTCCTACCCTCTCAGCTCAATGGCTATTTATGCCATTGCCTTCGAGCACTCACACGTTCAACGTGATGAGTCGGCTAACCGACCCAAACAGCAGTGATTAAACGATAACATATTTGTGTATTGTTCAAGTAAAACTGCCACTTTATGTGACAACGTTCCGGATCTTGATTTTTTCCTTCAGGTTTACAAAAAAACATACTTAACGTACATGAATAGCAGCCTGCTAGATACATTTTCTTGCTTTCCGTTGAGGTGCAAACGTTGTTATAGATCATGGAGCTAGTGCTCTACCCTAGCCTACCATGGCACACCACCGCGTTGTGTAAAACGCATACGCTGTGCAAAAAAAGTATCAAATGACAAATCACGGATCGAATAATTCATTCTAAACGTTCGCGCGCATCCAGAGAGTGCGCGCGAACGTTCAAAACGCTTTCTGCGGGTGCATTTTAGCATGCAATTTCGCGCTACAACGTTACTATACTGCAAAATGTGCCAGCTAAAGGAGTAACATTTCTGGACTTCCAGATCTTTCTCAAGAGTAGAGCTTGTAAAGCACGAAAAGCACGGGCGTATGGATTAAATGTGCTTGAACTATTTTAAAAAGGTTCCGAGGAGATATCCTCGTCATCGTTATTGAATTCTAGCGTCATCGGGTTTTTTGTGCTCTGAACAGCGATACCTTTCTTCATGATCCGATGTCGTGATCCTTCCGACGAGGTAGACGGAATTGTGTGCTCAGTTGTGATGCAACGACGGATGCGATTCCGGTGGCATGTTGCGCCGCGGGGCAGTAGCCATCATTGTCTTCTGCTCTCTGCGTTTGTCTCCCTCTCTGGACTCTGCCTGTAAGTGACGGTTACAAGGTATCTGTCAACCGAATTTTCATCTTTTGGTCTTCGTCTGTGTCCGTTCGCTGTCTGCACTCTCCGCTTCGCTTCACTCTCGTCCTTTTGACAGGGGAACTCAGGTGGAAAGAATCCCGTCAAGCAAGGGCGCTTCTTTCTCGATTAGAGCGGCTGTGCATTCCTCGAAACAGAGCTGCTATGGTCGAGGATGACACGATACTCGGAATAGATCAACACCCGGAATTTCAATCTGCATCAAAATTCCGCCGTGATGACCATCCAAATTGTCATGATGCCGGCATTATGATATGTCGAATGATTCTTCTATTGCTCCATTTATGAGGCGAGCATTGCCTTTCCTGCTCAGCCTTCTCCTCAGCGCTTCCCTTACTTGAGCTGTGTTGCTGACATCGGGTTTCCGCATGTTCAAGAATGGCTCCATCATTTTTAATGCACTATACTCGTTCGTCTACAGAACAGCGATTAGAATTAGGAAAGACTCACCGAGTAATACTGCGGTTGGTTCTGCCCTCAAGCATTTGCCAACGATCGAAAAGGAGCTCGTTCACCTTTCCGAGCAGCAGTGTTCTTTCCCAATCCTACTGCACAAAAGCATTGAGGGGTATCTTGTCTGGTATTCGCTATTCAAAACTAAGCGCGGTCTAGTACATGATACCCAATCTGTGACGCCTCACTGTAGAACTACCATGAATCCATGTCTACATTATCTCCAAGCGAACGAGCCACACATGAATTTTCGTGGTTCAGATCATCAGCAAGAACGGATAAATAAGTTAATACTTTTGAAAATGCCTTAGTGATTGCTTCCATGGTCCCGAGATATTCACGTAGTGATCCCGTGAGCCAGCGTGCTCTTCCGTCTGCGCACTAAAATTTCGGGGGCAAGGACGCAGGGTTCGTTTGTATGAGGGAGATGCAGACAACAAGACGAAATGCTGAGTCATCAGGCGTCACTGTTGGCAGTTATTTTGAGGGTCCTGACGTATTTGGGGAGGAGGGACTACGCAGCTCGCGGCGCGCGATGACGTATCTGCTCTTCTGCTCCCCCTCGGCGAAATGGAAGTAATTTCATGTTTAGGACATGAATATAACACCGCCCTAGGCTGATATATAGAAGGCAAAACTGTTAACGCTGAAAAGTGCGAAGATACAATCGTAGGTCGCAAGAATTTTGCCTGAGCCCACAAGGGGAATATATTTGTTTCATATAACTTCCTTCGTTGTTGTGTGTTTGTGTGTGGTGTGTGTGTGACAATCAATCAACGAATCCGCAAAATCTTAAAAACAATCTACTGCGATAGGTACTTATCGAATCGTGGAAATTGAACCCTGAGCAGATTCCTCACAATAAAATTACACGAAGGTTCACCTCACCAGCTCTCTTCACCTTCCCAGTTGAGGTCCATCTGTTTCCGCTCTAAATACGACAGCAACTATCTGTGCGCTATTCAAACACATTTACGGTGGATCTTTTTTGCTCTATTCTAATTTGGCTGCTAGTTTCGCGCTTCAACTATGCCGGCAATCGTCTGTGGGCTCTTTTGAATACTATCTGCCGAGGAAGAAGCAGAAGAGCAGATGAGTCATCGCTCGCCGCGAGCCGCGTGGTCCCCCCCCCCCCAAATACGTTAGCACCATCCTGAAACCGTAATTGACGGTTGCATCGCGCAACCAACTGCTTGCAGACATTTATTCTTCTATTTACTGCTATTTTTCTGCCCGCCAGGCTTCAAAGGAAGAGACAAGTTAATTTCATTGACTCCAATATTGAAAACAACCAAATATTTTACTTCTTGCTGCCATTTAGACTAGTTACAGAGTCCCTGTTGTAGTCCTTCTCATGTTGGGAACACTCGCTGACTCTTTTGAAACTTGTGGTCGCTATCGAATGCATCTATTTTCAGGTCTTCCCACAACGGCCGTGGTTTTCTCTGTAACGTCGTTTTCTCGATTATTTTTCATTAATCTTTTTTCGGTTCAGACCTCATTACAGCCTTTGTTGTGTTCCTCTTCAAGTTGAGAACACTCTTTGACTCTGTTTTGAAGCTTTTGGTCGCTTTCAAACGCATTTCCCCCGGGCCTTCCCAAGACAAAAACGAATATTCGTTTGCAGTAGGGAACAATCACCTCACAGAAGTGTTTAGGCGCAAAGTCAACTGCAATACGACAAAAGCTAAATACTCACACTTTATTCGACGCGCTTTCTATAATATTTCTAGTCTTAGTGGGCTACATGGTGTTGAAATTTCTGAGATTCTGAGTTTGCTTAAATGAAAACTAGTCAGAAATTTCTATTTTTTGGTGGGATCAATTCAGCCTACATGTATCAGACTAGTTCGCGAACTTCACAAGTGGAGGCTTTCTTATACACAAAGAAGGTTTCCCAGAAGCGCGTTCCTTTCTGTAGCTGGTCTCACTCAAAACAGAAATGCTTAAAAAAGAGATGAAGGTAAAGATTATTTGCTTCGATCCCACAAATAAGCAGCTTGCGCTGCTGAAACAAGGGCGTGCGCTACCTCACGGTATCATTACCATTAGGATCGAACTAAAGCTAGGATAAACAAAACATGTACCATCTTCCACCAGAACGAGTGGACTTCTCTCTAGAACTAGGCTTTCAATGATTTTTTCCCATGCAACAGTGTCATCTGATTGCAATGACAACCAAAGCACCAACCGTCCCTGAAACTGGATGTTCAACGGTGCGAAAGAGCAGTTGAAAAAACCTATTTCCAGTACAGCTAGTGGAAGGGGTGCTGAAAGGAAAACAAAAAAGGAACAGTTGAAACGCAGCGAACTAGCCCGATTAAGGCCGGTTATTTTCAGTATGAGACTAGTTCAAGGACGAGTCGTATTATACGGACCGAGCGTCAACCGCAACTGGAACGAGCACTTCATGATCCTACCGAATCTTCAAAAATTAGCTAGACTGAACGAAGGTTTTCCAGTTTTTCTTCTAATTTCCCCTTCAATGAATTGATAGATATTCCAAGACCGCTTTTCGCGTCGAATTAGATGTGAGCCCGTCGCCGCTTGCCGTATTGCATATTATTTCACGCCCAGATACTTCTGTGAATAGCTGCTACCAGAACAATCATTTTTGTCTTAACATGAGCCTCGTGGTTTTCTCGCTACTTTTCACCAGTGGGATCGCCCAGCTGTCGCTGAGGGCGCCTCCTTCTGTAACACGGTTCAACCACTCTCCTTCCTTTACCTTTGGTTCGACTGCGACCCACATCCTTTTTCATAATCCTTGCAAGCAGAGGTCCCGAACGCATTTGACTGTTGTCGACAAGTGATACGATTATAATTAATAGTTTACTGGTTGTCAGTAGTTCAATTTATACATTAGTTCATCGTAAATTTTTAACGTCTTAAATGATATTATTGTGATGCTCACAGGAATTGTTACATGTCGCTATTTGGGCCTATCTTGAAACCATCTAGAAATAAAAACAATATAAGAGAGGCTTTGTATATACACAAGGGGAGGTGCTGTAGAGACCTGTCTTGAAAGGTTGTATAACAACTAAAGAATAAATCTGCATCCCCCATAAGCGGATACAAAAGTAAGTCGCAACTGGAAAGCGGCTTGGGCAGACACTAAATGGCGCATCGGCACAATTAAGGACTCAGGTCGGGTTGAATTTCAAGTTGCATTTTCTTCACTGTTCTTTACCTTTTTGGAGAAAGGTGGGGTAGAGTTATTCCCACTGACAAGTTTTCTTTCTTTGCATGAGTGGGCACCAAACGGATTTGAAATACCGGGTATCCACAAAGCTTTGGCACCATGTCGTGTAGTTTGCCACCCCTAAACCTCTTCTCACGCATTACTGCGGTAAAATGGAAACTATCGCGACTCGTTTCAAGGCTGAAAGGTTAGAATTAGTTCAGGTTTACAATGAGGAGGGAGAAATCACACCTACATTCCTTCAGACCAGGCTCCAGCGACTAGACAAAGGGGTGGGAGCTATTGAGGCAGCCACATCGAGGACTCAGCAACAGATGCATGACTATGCTGAAGAAATTAGTAGTCTGAAACCCTACCAAAAGGAAATAGAGGACTTCGAGAAGTATTCGTCTAAAGCGCTCGACCCGCTGACCATGGCCTTCGATCACACATTACTACTGCAGGCACGTATAAGAGCCTTTCGCTCTTAGACACCTCATTCGAAGCTGCCCGGAACGCTTACCAGGACTAGCACGGAGAACGAAACGATACCCAGCACCGAAGCAACTGGAACCCCCCCCCCTAGGCACCCACTTCCGTCCTTCAATAGAAATATTTGTGAGTGGGACAATTTCTGGCAGTTTTTCAATTCCAGTGTCCATTCACAGAGCCTTCCAGGCTCCACGAGTTCAACTACCTGTTGGCCGCTCTCGAAGGCGAAGCTTTCGGTGAGAAAATCCTAAGTAACGAGTGGAAACTATGAAAAAGAAATATGGCAGCAAGGAAGAACTCCTGTTTTGGCTCGTAGACTAACTGGACCACTGCTCCCTTCGTTTAATCGCCATAAGTGATCAGCGGAAGCTATTCGAGCAGCTATAGCTTATCATTTCGCAGATGGTACAGAAAGGGGAGAATGTAAATAGTCAGTGGCTAGTCAAACGGGTTTTGTCGAAGTTCCCTGACGGTGGTCAGCGACAAGCCTTTCTGAATAAGCACTCCGCCTTAGAGACACAACGTACGCTCACGCAACCTTGGCATGTCCGGGGCTAACGAGCCCACAGTAGTCAAAGCGTAACGATTCTCCTTCCGAACATGGCGGAGATGGGGATCCAGGACCGTGAGAAGTTCTCCATATCCCTAGTTCCTCCATGCTCCGCCTGAAATGCAACTTGTGGCGCAGACATGCTGAACTTCGCTGCGATATGCCGCTTCCGTTTATACTGACCGGTGTCCGCGCGGGTTCCTGGCATTTTGCCAAGTCTTGTCGTAATTGCGCTTTCGAATACAACTGAAACGCAAACTCCTGATGCGGACAGCATTTCAGGCGTTGCTCATGCTGATCCGATTCGGAGATGATGAAGGCTAGAATTGAAGAGCAACTAATGTAGAAGTAAAAAAAATGTAAACAAAAAATATGGTACTATTCAACTGTTACTACCCCAATTTTCCGAAAACAGGCCGGATTTTATTGGCTTTTCTCTGCGGAGGTATATATGGCTAAAAATAGTGTTCTCGGGGTAATTAGACCTCCTGAACACGAATATCGCATCCACTTGACCTGACGAAACCTGAACACTCGCCACAGGCGCCGGCGCCAAAAACCCTAAATCACCGATATCGCTGAAAACTTGCCCCCAGGGGTATTTTGACCTCCTGAGCACGATATCACATTCGCTCCGCGCGAAGTCACCATAGGTCGCCAAATCCGCTGAAAACTTGTATCCGGAGGTACTGACATATTGAGTACAGATATTACATTCATTTTTGGCGCTGGCGCTGATGGAAGACACTACGATCATCTCTGCTCTGCTGAGGTTGAGCTTAGCCTCCTTCTTCCAGGCTCAGCCTTAGATGAGCGCTAAATGGCGCTGCTGTGGAAAAATAAATGTCATATCCGTGATCAGGACATCATACATCCCTATTGTGCATGTTTTTATCGATTTTGATGAAAAAGGGTGTAGCGCCAAATTGGCGTCTAATGGCGCCAAATGGCGCTAGTGCTGGAAGCTAATGCGGTATTCGTGGTCAAGACATCAAGTAATCCTACTATGCAAATTTACACCGAGTTTAGTGAGAAAGGTGGCAGCGCCAAACCGGCACCAAACGGTGCTAATTTGACGCAGGCGCCGAAAGCGTGCTATATTGGCGATCAGGGCACCGAGTAACCTCCGTGAGCGAAGTTTCAGCAAAAAATTCTGACTTCTCGGGTAGTGATAGTTGATTAGTGTCAAAAATATAAATGTAAATTAATTGAGAACCCATGTACCTTTCTGCAACTTGGCGCGATTCCAGCTCCAAAATAAACAAATGAAAAAAATAAAAAGACCATAAAAAGACTTGGAATTAATTATCGGGATGCTCAGCCTGTTTTTATTTTCATGTTTGGTGAGAACGCGCGGCTTTTAAGGGAGACTGCAGAAGCAGCACAGTTGCTCTCGAGTTCCGGCCCTCGTCAGTATCTTCGAATCGGACTTTGCAGCATGAGTGACACCTGAAGTAGTATCCTTATCAAAAGATTGCGTTCTAATTGTTTTCGAAAACGCAATTACAAGACTTGGGGAGCGCTGCGCGCTACAAGCGCCGCGCGGACGGCGATATTGCAGCGGTGCTCAGCATGTCTGCGCCGTTTCAGGCGGAGCATGGAGGAACTAGCCATTTCAACGGTCCTGGATCCCCATCCCCGCCATGTTCGTACGGGGAGACCGCTACGTCTTGACTGCTGGGGACTCGATAGCCCCGGACGTGCCAAGGTTGCGTGAGCGCACGTTGCGTCACTTCCTCCAGTATGGATCACCTTTTCCGCTTTTTAGAGGAAGTCATTACAAGTGAGGAAAGTGTATCACTCCACACAGGCAAAACGCGTCGACCTAACACGGACAGTAGGCCGCGATTCCCGAAATTCACCTTCCGGTTGTCTTGCGTGTACTGCAAAGGGAATCACTCATCATTTGACTGTGACAAGTACGCCACACCCAAAGAGCGATCACAGTGCTCGAGGATGCACAGGCTGTGCTTCACATGCCCGTCACCGCAACACGCCACTTCAGAATGCTAAAGACGTGCATGATTTAAGTGTCAGAAGCGGTACCACATGTCGTGTTGTTTCTATTCAGAGTGTAAAGGTCCAATACGCCGACGCTTGCAAAGAAGTGAGGACTACGCTTCCACCAACGGGAGAACTCATCGCAATGGACCCGACTACGAAGAAATGAAGAAAATTTCAGTCCTTTAAGATACAGGAGCAGAAACTTTCATCGATACAGCATTGGCCGCAGAGCAGCATCTTTCAACGCTAAAGGCGCAGAAGATGTGGAGTTCATATTTGAACACAAATCGAAGGTGAACTCCGGCGAGATAGGGTCAACAGTGAAACCAGCCTTGGTACTTATTGGTTGCGATCAATTATGGTCTCTGATCAGAACTGACGAACTACACATGCAACTTCCGTCCGAACTCCACCTGCTAGCAACCCGCTTAGGACACCTGGTAACGGGTCAAGTAACATATCTTCCAACCAGGAGACTCTGGAGGGCTAGACAGGTGAGATGGCTCTTGGACGTGGAAAGACATGATAATACGCCACCCTTCCTATAAACTTACCCGACAACGTGAAAAACGAAAAATGGGATCAGTACTGGTCACCGACGTCCAAATGAACAGGAGGGTTTGGGAGTGCGGAAAAATATGAAAAAACCGCAGCGGACCGAAGTGTGGGAGAAATTTAAGACTATAGAGAAACATTGAGACGATTACTAGGTACGGTTTCCATGGAAAAAGGTAGCGGTCCTTCTACCCGATAATAAAGCCATGGCACACAATCAACTCGTCAGCGTCTGGAAGCCACCGAAGAAGGACGAAAATTTTCTGATACAACAGGATCGAGTATTTCAAGCTTCGGAAGAGGATAGTGGAAGTGGTCGTTACTGCAGCTGAATCACAGGAAGGGGGGGTGTGGGCATTACATTCCTATCAAGCACTTATCACATCTCACATGACCAAAAATTTCGAATCGTCTCCGACGCATCCGCCCATTACAAAGAAGGCCTTTCATTGAACAATGCTTTGCTGCCGGTCCTGTGATCCTCCCACAGATATACGGCGTATTTCTCAGATTTCGAATGCGGTGTTTAGCGTTTACTGCAAAAGTAAAGAAGCATTCGTACAAGTTCGCATACGCGAAGACGACCACGACTACACTTGCTGGTTATGGCTGTGGGACTACAAGTCGCCACCTATGCCATACAACATCGAATGTTCATTTCACAAGAGTAACGTTCAGCCTAAAAACCTCCCCGTTACTGCTGGCTAAAACAATCTACTTTCATCTCGATCAGTACCAGAAAGGTATCCGTTTCGAGGGAGACATCAATAGCAACCTCTACGTAATCTCGTCCTTACGGCGGATTCGCTAGATACTGGACACTTTCGCTAGATACCATATTTATTTCAAATTCAAGCAAGTCTTCGGGTGTGGAGATATTGTGCTGACCTCTCGCCAAAAGTCATTGAAACAGAGCTTAGCAGTATAGTCGCGAAATTGTGAAAATAGCGGTCATCCATTCTCATCAATTTATTTATTTGTCCATGCGCTACGAGAGTGGGCCGCTGCAACGTAGTAATCTGTTTAACCTAACAATTAGAATCAATCGACGTAATTATCATCCAATTGCCCCCAATGTTCCTATTACAAAACCTTCCTGCTTCGTGAAAGCTCTACCACCTCAAACAAAATTAAAGGCGGCAACCCAGTTTATGGCTCTCTATCAGTTGCTATTACTTTCCGCTACCAACCATTGATGTTTCGATTACAACCACTGAATCAACTGACGGAATCAACTCCCTACTGTAGCTGGGATGATGAATAAGGTGAGCTTGAGTTTCACCACCCCTCATCAGGTCCTATCAGCTGTTGGCAATTCAGTCAACACTCAGGATCGTGTCTGCGCGGTTTTTCGAGAGGTTGTTCCGTCCCCGTCCGCTGCCCTCTACAACACCCGAAGTTCATTTCAAACAGTTAGCTGGATTTTTCTGGTTACCCAATAATTGGCAGCTAAACGCAAATGCTAACAATTATTTTAGTGCTGCTGTTTTCTGATGTTAAGATTTTGTTGACTTTTTCCCGCTTTCCAATAGTACTGACTTAAACTTTGTAAAAACTGCTTCTCTGAAAGACTCCGTGCCGCAGGAACTAGCGAAATCCGGCATTAGAGTAATGTAACAAAATTCCATTGGCGCAGTTCGGCGACGAGGCGATTTTGCACTTTCATTGCTCCACTAGTTCTATTTTACAAGTCTCACTCTGGTATGGTGAAACCTGTCAACTCGAAAACAGACTGTCTAGATGGGTCGATACGTCGATGGGAAGTAGCGGAAGTGCATAATGCCTCCCCCCCCCACTCGCGTCGCCGTCGCCGAGCAGCGCATGCTTCATTCAAACAGTCAACTCGATATTCTAATTGCGTTGGAATCGCCAAGGTGAGCAGTCAACGCATGCTACGTCACCTCACAGGCAGTCATTAAGGGCGCGATGGCCTCCATCTCAACTTGCAGTTTCCTTACCGTATACCGGCCCAACAATATGCATACCCACTAAACACAAGTGAGCATGAATCTTCGAGAGTTCCTATCCAACAGTACGGGGCGGAGCTAGTTTAAAAAATTTCCCAAAATGGTTCCAAAGCACTCCAGACACTCAGACCTCTGTGATACGATCTGGCCTTGCGGGGCGTGGCTCCATCGCACCTACCGGCTTTTCTCTCATCTGTCCACTTGATCAACGTTCCTCACTATCAGGTTGTTCGGAAAGAAATGCGCGTTTGAGTCTGAAAATTTTTTATAATAAAAACGAAAGTAAACAAGATCAATTCGAGAGATAATTTCCATTACTATCAATGACTTGTTGCCAACGTTTATGCAAAGAATTGATTCCTCTTTCGAAGAACTCGGCCGGCTGCGACTCAAAGTATTTGGACACCCAAAGTTGGACTTCTTCGCGGTTTGTGAACTTTCTCTCGGCCATGGAGTCCTGCATCGACCGAGCAGATGGTAATCGGATGATGCCAGGTCTGGGCTGCATGGCGGATGAAGCAGGACTTCCCAGCCCAATTCCTCAATTTTTTCTAAAGTGTTTTTCGCGACATGTGGCGAGCGTTGTCGTGGAGGAATTTTGTCGACGTCGATTCGACACCTTGACGAGGCAGTGCTTGATCCACGCGGTTTAACTGATCTTTGTATATGTCCGCCGTAACTGTCTGACCCGAATCCAGAACTTCAAAGTACACGAAACCTTTGCTGTTCCACCAAACACAGAGCAGCACCTTTTTGCAGTGTATATCCGCTTTCAGAGTCGGTTTTGGAGTGTCACCAGCGTCTAACCACTGTCTTTTTCGCGTTGCGTTGTCGTAGCAGATCCATGTCTCATCTGATGTAACAACAGAGTTGAAACAACCTCTGTTCTTGGAGCGACAAAGAAGAATTCCGGCCATTGCCACTCGTGTTGCATTGTTTGCGTCGCTCAGCTGGTGCGACATCCCCTCTTCCCAACTTTTTTTCTTTAAAAAAAACAAACAAAGTAGACATAGACGAAAATATACAAATGCACAATAAAAGTCGCTTTTTAACAGACAAAACTGTTTTGAGAAATCTTCTATAGTAGGAGAGAAATAAATGGACAAATTCAACAAGGTTCAACGCGCATTTCTTTCCGAACAACCTAATACCATTCCATACACCGTAATAGTGTAGAAAATAGCATGTATGATGCTAATGGTCAAAGAATGTTGACCATCTGTTTAGATAAAAGAAAAGCCTGATACTAGGTGGGTCTTGAAATGTGTGGAAAAAGGTGAGCAGGCGGAGCCGCGCCGCCTAGCGAAGCCGTGCTGTAGCTCAGAGGCAGGTGCCCCGGCATGAGCCGGCGAAGACGGCTGGTATTGTATTAATTGAAGTAATTAATGAGCAATTTTTGAGCTGAGCAAAAGTGTGCGTTTATATTGATGTATATTTATTGAATGTGAAAGTAACTTACTTATTTATTTCCTGTCCAACTTTCGTCAGGCTATCTGCTTGCACTAATTATCATATCTATACCTAATCTGTTAAAATTGCGCTTATTACATGGTTGATGAATTGACTTACCTAACACTGATAGTATTTTGCTTGGTCTATTGAGTAAATGAGTGTGAATTCTTGATAACACTTGTTCTTTATCAAGTGTTTGGCTTCACTTCATCCGGTTGATTTATCTTTCTCGTTCATCTTGAGTATGAAGGTGAGTATTTACATTCTTTTCACTTTTATTATTGTTTGTACGACTATGTTCACCAGATGAGTGTTTGTACTTCAGAATGATTAGTTTTATAGGTTTTTCAGAAGTTATTATTACATGGATAATTCTCACTTCTTTGTTATTTAGCTTATAGTCATGTACGTATTGTATTAGCATTTATTCTAGTGTTTTATTTGTTTTATGTTTTGTCATGGTTTTTAATTTTGTAATATAGTTTTTATAGTATGGCTTCCATGCTGTATCCAGACTCTTTCAGTTGTCTCATTGTATAATTAAGCCTATCTTCAAAACTTTTTCTGTTCTCAGAATTTCTGAATATGTTGTGTTATTCTTTATATGATTCGAAATGTTTGTTTTGTCCCTTATTTGGGAAGCTTCTTATTCTGAAGTTGAAATTGTCTGTTTTATTGAATACTAGTCGGATCGGCCGGCTTCGCCGGCCGATCCTCCTTCCGTGTGTGATTTGGGTCTTGGTGAGAAGTTTTCGGAGAGCCAGTCGGATCGGCTGGCTTCGCCGGCTTAATGAATGGTCGAAGAAAATACTGTTTTGAGAATTACCGCACTTTACCGTTTCACTCTTTGTATATACCCCCCCCCCCCTAGTAGACAGCTATCAAAATTTTCTATACGGCACTCCCGTCAGTGATGAGGAAGCGTAGAATAAACGGCACCATCAATTTGGTATACTTCCTAGGGCTATCCCCCACCAACTTCATCTGCCCAATCATTGCTCAGTTTCACTTACACCCGATTTCTGGAGGCGAGCGTACTACAACCGCGGTCTGAACATTTTGCGGGGGAGACCACCCTCCATGCGCACCTTACTGACCCCTATGCGTGTCTCTCCCTACTTCAATCGGCAGCCCGTTGTTGACCATCGCTGATATCTCTCATCAGGTTGCTTTGGATGCGGTTTTGAAAATGGTCATCCTCGACATAGTTCGCTTCGGTACACGCCCCGCCTATTGAGGGCATAGCTTAGGTTACCTTGCTTAAGCTCCCTGGAAATTGGCTCATCCTATAGCAATCCCAGTTGAATCCGTCCTACAGAAGCAGTATCATGTAATCTTCAGTCTTTGGATGGTCTGACAGACGCACACACATATACACAAACTAACTTCTGGTTTATTATGGTAGATTCTTGCTACTAAATTTTGTTTTTTACGTTTATGTACTTCTAACTCTGAATAATTACAAGTATATTCGACGTTATTCGTAACCTCTAGTTTCAAGATATTATTTTGCGTTTTTTTCTTGAGTCATTTAGTATGGTTTGTGTATTACTGTTATGGATAATTAGGTTTCA